CCATCTTTTGAACATCATCGTCAATCAATTGACTATAATGTTCTCCTGGTTTTGCCATTTTCTGTTCTTCTGTTTTCTTCCCTTTTCCTTTGTTCTTCTTCTTCGTTACTTTAATTTAATTATAATGGATGAGTCATAATGACGATGAAGAGACACAATAAATTCTTTTTATTCTTTTTTATTTTTCAATACAATAATAAAGTAGGGGTGGTAATACCAGTTGAAGAGAGAGCACAATAACTAATTTTCACTAAATGTGTATCTGACCTCGGACAGTTCACAGTAAAGATGTGAGCTCGAAATAATTTCAAGAGTTATCTTAACATTAAGGGTTAGAAAGCAGGTGTCCGTGCGTCCCAGATTTCTTCTGCACTTCTAATGATACAGACTTCAGGGTGGTCTCAAAAACTGTTTCGACTGTCCAAACGGAAATATATGACCAGCCAACCGGCCCGGTCAGAAATTTTTCGACCGGTTACCGACCCGAGAAAATCTTGACCGGTTACATCTATGGGTCGTTCGATATTACTGTGATGGACGATACAGACAGATACTAGCGTGACAGACGAACATACACATATTCCACAACATATTGTGGATAGTCCACTAGCGAACGCCGACAGAAGGGAGATGTGAGCGTTGTCTGGGATTCAAAGTCATCGAAGGTCGTTCATAGGTTGCTAGATTATAACTTGCAAAAAGTTCTGCACAGTCGAAAGAATTTCGACTTTAGAAAAACTCCAACATGTATGATTTTTTGTCCTCTCGATTGAATACTAGCTGGACCAGACTTCAACTTTCCTAGAGTAAGTAAACCGAGCGAGTGGATATGCAGGGAGTGATCAACACTGTGAAAAACTGTCATGTTGCAAATGAGTGTTACCTGCGACCGATACTGCAACGAAAACTAGACCACTAGTTGAGTGGCTCCGAGCCTTCGGTGGACAGTCAGCGAGTGTTACTTGTACATAAAGGCAGCGTTTTATTTAAAGTGTTTGAAGTTTTTTTCCACTTCCAATTGGATGGAAGTAGATAGTGAAGAAGATATCCGCTAATCAAACGGTCGAAAAGAGCTAATAAAACTATAGATTAATTAGCTTACAGAAGAACGGCACATTGAACCGCGACTGAGCAGATGTATCCAGATGAACCGCCGTTGCGCTTGAAACCGCGAGAAACTAGGCGTTACGGTTGACTGCGATTCCTTATCGGAACGCAAAGAAAACCGTTTTATGATTGTTTATCGTGACGCGCGGTTTTGTAAAGGTTGTAAATTTTTGTAGACGAACTAATGAGCATACTTTCTAAAGTAAAATGAGGTTATTTCTTATTTTATTCACGATATTTCGACCTTAATCGGTCATTATCAAGTAAAAAATAAACTGTGAAAGACGTAAATATTTTTAACTAAAAGCTACAAGAAAAAACTGAATTTTAACTGTTCCTACTTTTAATGTTATTTCCATTCGATAAGTCATCGACTGAATTTAGTAAACACAGGATAGAAGGTTGCACATTGGAGAATACATGAATGAATACGAAAATATTTATATATTTTCCGACTGTTTTTATTCTTGTTCAGATTCATATATTGGGAAGACGTTTCGTCATTTCCAAACACGCTGTCAAGAACATTCGAATGATATTAAAAAAGCGAAATTATCTAATGCACCAAAAATAACATCATCGGTTGGTAAAGTCATAAAACGAAGTGGCACAAAAAAGCCCACAGTATTAGATAAAAAAATTAGTCGAATATAATTTCCTCAGGACCTATGACACGCTCAATATCAAAACGATATACGTCAGTCAATATTATTGATCCAGATTCATTAATAGACATCTGCTCAACATTATGCTACTCAACATTCGCCGCGGAGTCAGCAGTCGGCCAGCATTTCGTAAAAAAAAGGACATAAAATTAGTAGGGATAATTTTAAAATCTTATTGAAAGAAAAACACACATATAAACTCTTAATTAAGGAATCGATAGGAATCAAAGTTATAAAATCGATCCCCAATGGTACCGATCGATCTATCCCACTATATGTATATCCGGATGGTGGAAAAAAATCAATTTTATCCTTAAGTGTCACGGAACCGCCACTTTCCGGGTAAAAGGAAAGAAAGAAAAGTAAACACAGTCAGAAAATATATAAATATTTTCGTATTCATTCATGTATTCTCCATTCTCTAATGTACAACTTTCTATCATCTGTTTACTAAATTCAGCCGATGACTTATAAAAGTCACTAATAGCAAAGCGCCCTTACCCCGAAGATACTCGTGTTTGTATGACATCAACATTAAATGGAAATAACACTAAGAGTATGAACAGTTCTAATTCAGTTTTTTCTTGTAGCTTTTAGATATAAAATCTTTACATCTTTCACAGTCTATTTTTTACTTGATAATGACCGGTTAAGATCGAAATATCGTGAATAATATAAGAAATGATCTCATTTTACTCGGCTGCTATAATTCTCAAAATTTGTTTGAAAAGTATGTCCATTAGTTCGTCTACCAATATAGACTTATTTATGCTCAAAAGAAAGTTTATTTCACGGTCTATCGAATGATCTAAGAATCAAGTCTTTATCTTGCTTAATTCATAGCTTAGAGACTCTGGAAGATAAGGAATGCTTCAAAAAACTTAATTTTTGCACATGATTTTCTTCAAAATTGTCCGTCAAAATTCTTTCAAAATTGTTTTACCAAGACACCTTATCTAGTGCTACAGGTGATCCAAGTTTGAGCTCTGATAAACCAAATGTTAGAAAATTGTTTCCAAAGGTCAACAGCATACAATAAGTAATCTTCTTTCGAATGAGACGCCTCTCACATTTACCCGATGTTTCTTCACTGAAATACAAGATTAGAAGCGTCTCAGTATGCCAGAGCTCTTGTAAAGCATCTCAAATTAATAAAAATGACATATCTCCATAAGGAATCGTCGCTTAAAGGTAAGAGACGTCTCATTCGAAATAGATTTTTTATTATACGCTGCTGACCTTTGGAAACAGTTTTCTAACACTTGGAGTTTTTGGAAACTCTCAGAACATTTAGAAAACAGTAGTTGAAAGACAAGTAATCTACAGACCTCATTCATGAGTCATTAAAAACAGCCTAAATCAGACTTTATGTTGATTATAAACAAGCCCATGTTCCACATTTCCTGACTGTATGGCAAGCAATTTAGAAAAAGTGTTTCTATTATTTTCGTTAGCAGTTGTCAATCGTTCCCATTTAGCTAGCTTTAGAGTTGGAACGATTAAAACTATCTTCCATATACAACTTTTAGAGTTCTGTCGAATGCCCAAATCAGATGCTTTTTAAAGTAATTATTTAAACAAAAATCACCGATCCCTAGTAGACTTTTTATGAATTAAACTGCTACCACGCCCATGATCCATGACTTTCAGTGCACAAAAATATCGACTCCTACATAACTCGACATACCCAACAACATGTACAAACTGAACTTAGTCAGATATTGCCGACTTTTAGTCGATGTATATATTGGAGGAGCTGTGTGGAAGCACTAAGTAAATCAAATCTTGGCTATTTGACAGCTACGACGAACAAAAAAGTTTACCTGTCCACCTTTCTCTGCAAAAGAGCCACCGAATTTTGTCTGACCAGCTCTCCCTTGCTGCCGACCTTGAAGCATTCCAGAAAACGCCAAGATGGGAGCAAAACACAGAATAACCAGTGTTAGTTTATACCCAGCGATGAAACCAATAATAATAGCAGTAATAGTAGCTCCCACTGCTTGTAATATAATTCCAACTCTAACACCAGTTAAACCCTGGAAAATGGTAATAATGGACATAATATGAAGACAATTAACTGATAAAAGTTTTTTTCACATACCTTCAATGCACTTGCATCAAATTGCAATCGCGTAACTAATGCGCCTACATTGTTAGCATCGATGTCAAACCATCCAATTTCTTGACGAAGCATAGCTGAAAATGTTAGTTTCCTCATTCTCATGGTCAGTTCTTCACCACTCTTTGCGAACGTTATACTGCTTACAAACAGACAAACAGCTCCAATAAAGCCAATGAAAAAAATCAAAATTGTGTCAATGAGCGCATTATGCTCTTGTCTATACAAATTCGGTTCAGAGAATAAGGTAAAAATGTCTGCAAATATTAAACCAAAAGCGGGTTGGATTGATCCGTATATCAGTGACGCTATGGCACCAATTACGATATAGTACCATTCAGCAGCGTTGAACCTGAGAATTTTCAATAGAAATGGCTTACGGAAAAAAGTGCTCTTTTCTCCTGTATCACTAAAGAATTCAGTATAATTGACTTCGGAGTTAGCACGAATGGATGCCGCACGAATGGATGCCGCTGGAATAATCGATTTTAGCCGCCGAGGCAAAACTTAAAAAAAGGAAGAAAAGAAATATGAATTAGAGATACATGTCAGCTGTAGCACATGCTGAAGAGTTTGCAGTTGCGAGAAAATCCAAATTTTTCATAGTCAAAAAATTTCTTGCAAACTGAAAACTAGAACACTAATACTAGTAACATTGTAACGTACGGTGTAGCTAACAGCTAGAAACTGTATTTAAAATAACATTCAAGGATTCTACGACTAAAGGAACGTTAGCGCAATCGATTTGGTATAGGCGTCTCGGATACTGTAGAGACGGAAGCAACTGCTCGACTGAAGTCAAACAAACGGAGGAAAAAGGCTGGGCGATATCTGTTGAAAGGTAGCCAACACACGGGCACACATTTCATAAAAAGCTAAGTCTCAGAACTTTTGGTTAACACAGGATTTTCAAGGAACTTTTGGGAAACCAAGTTGGCATTTTCAAAGTTGAACTATAAATACATTTGGCTACATTCTGGTAACGACTTAAATCAATGAATTCTAGATACCATCTTATAGATATTACATATTGTACAATACTAATACTAAGGAACAAGTATGTAATGAGCTTAATATTTATATATACATTAGGGCAGGAGAATATTGTTTCATTCGATAGAAGAATTTCGAAGCTTGAGTAGTAACAAACGCAAATTAACTCTAATGTCAACTAAGACATCAGATGCAGATACGTTACCAGATGCTCGTCGAATCATTTGCTCTTCTTCTTCGGGGTCGATTTCAACATCACTATCTTCATCGTTCTTGTCAATTTCACTTTGTTGTTGCGCTGTTACAAGTTTATAATAAAGTCCTTTCTCCTGCATTAATTCGTTATGTGTGCCGTACTCTACAACACGTCCATTTTCCAGAGTTAAAATAAGATCAACATTTCTTATTGTCGATAAACGATGCGCTACAATAATTGTTGTTCAGCATAGTTTAACTTTCTCAAGAGCATCTTGTACTATTCTTTCACTAGTATTATCTATTCAAATTAAAAACAAATGATTCCCTGAAAGAATATATAGGAAATCTTAATACGAACCAAGAGCGGAGGTGGCTTCATCAAGAAGAAGGATTTTTGGATTAGATATCAACGCTCGAGCAATCGCCACTGTAAAAAGTTGATCACATCAAGTTACCGAAATTTCTACTTAAATTAAAATCTCTACCGCGCTGTTTTTGTCCGCCTGATAGCTTGTCACTCGATATTGTCTTGTAATTCTAGACAAACGAAAGAGACTACAGCAATTAAACTAGGTCAGCCAGCTAAAAATTCTGTTTATACTTCAGGTAATTCCATAATAAAGTCATGAGCATTAGCCATTTTTGCTGCTGCAATCACTTCATTATCCGAAGCATCCATTTTTCCAAATCTGATGTTTTCTTCTATTGATCCAGTGAACAGAGCAGGTTCTTGTGAAACAATGCCGATATGTGTCCGCAGCCAAGCAACATTCAGTGTACGAATGTCACGACCGTCAAGCAATATCTTACCGTGATCCGGATCATAGAACCTTTGAAGTAGTTGAATAATTGTACTTTCTAAATAAACATGTAAATAAATACTCAAACTAACGACGAACAAAAAAATAATCTTACTTCCACACCCTGAGGCGCCGACAAGAGCAATTGTTTTCTTTGCTGGAATCTTTATGCTGATGTCATTTAAAATCTAGATAAATGGATAGATATTCTTCTTAACTGAGAAGGAAGCCAACAACAACACGTACAGGAGCATCCTTTCTTGCAGGAAATGTGAAATGAACATTTTGAAATTCAATATCTCCTTCGACAATTTCTGGCTTTTGACCTAATTGGTTACAGGCATCAATTTTTGATTCCTTGAAGATCAAGTATACGCAAAGAATTACAAAATATAGGTGCAATGTTTTCTGAGGTACCCTTTTGATGATTTCGAAGATATAACTGGCACTTCCTGCTGCTTCAGCAAAATTTTGTATATTGGGTATTAACTGAGATATGCTCATTGTGGATTGATTGCAAGCCACAAAAACCTTTGGACGAAAAAGTGACTGAAATTTATTATCTCAGGTGTAAACTCTTTCTTTATTTTAAGGACGTGTGAAGTTTTCGATGTTGGAGCTATCTTTAGACAAAAATTAGTTTTTAACAGCAGCTTGATATTCGGAAGAAAAGTGTGTAACTCGACTGGGAATCGAACCCAGGACAGTGGTATTCACGACCATTGCTCTGACCGCTGAGCTATCGAGGCACAGCCTTCGATACACACATTTTCTTCCTTATGAACACTATTAAATAGTGATGAGGATTTTTACTATACGCATACTAATTTTATCGCCAGGCACGCCTGGAAGTGAGAAAACACCAGGACGATACAAGACCGAATCGCACTTTATATGTTACCGGCTTTCTTGGAATAGCAAACGGACATATTTTTAGTAGCGAAGCCATGAAAGTTTACGTAAAATCCTATTATAGGCTGTGCCTCGATAGCTCAGCGGTCAGAGCAATGGTCGTGAATACCACTGTCCTGGGTTCGATTCCCAGTCGAGGTGCACACTTTTCTTCCGAATATCAAGCTGCTGTTAAAAACTAATTTTCGTACACATATTTAGCTCCTACACCAAAATTTACATCTTTAGACAACTTAAAATATAAAATTGTAATATAAACTCTCAAGTTCGACTTCCGCTTAATAAATTGCGAGTTCCACTCACTACTAATAAATCAGTCGCGCCCTTCTTATCAACATCAAATCGCGAACTAGACCATCATGCAAGATCTGTCTTAACCAAAACACGGTCGCTTCTTCCAACAACGACCCTCATCAAAACTTGCTTTCTCATTTATCGAACTACTGTTCAGATGTCCTGACGACGACTTTCTCATTTTGGAGACTTACTACAACAAGAAAATGTATAAAAACGTTAATCAATGTCGTTCCCGAATGGCATATTCAAAGATTTCCTGATATTTCTTTTGTCGTATCTGTTAACTATTATAGAATTTTCCACAGGTTTAGGCTTACTTTCACTTTATTGCTTAACGGGCAATGCGCCCATAATTGATGTTTCCTTTAACAGTTGCAATGAAGCTTTATGTTCTTATACATCTTCATTAATAGTGATATACTACCACGCAATTTTATTAAAGCTTTACACCGCTATTCTTTTTTGTTTGTTTACCGAAAAGAAATCAACTGCACTACAGTAATATGAACTGACATATCGTTATTTAATCCTTCGATGAGGTTTAGTCAAACAAAAGCAATATACACTTATCTATATATCTGTCAATCTTAATAGCCTAATAATACTGAATGTTATGATACCGGTAAAGTAATGCTTCATATTACAGTAGAATGCAATACTAGCCATTTTTTTCCATCGCCATAAAAAGCGTCAGCATAAAGCGAAATTGCCCAAGAAATGGCAAGATCTTGCTATTTCTTTCGCTACGGATTGTCTTCGGTAACATATCTTGCTTAATATTATAGTCGCTGAGATAATTTCTAAATTCGCTGCGAACTGGAAGTTTTCATGCCCTCCAAGTCGAGGATTTTGGTCGTCGTAGCTGTGATATAATCAAGTATACTCATGATGAGCAATAATATGTATACCGCAATACGATGATATACTGTCCGTAAAGAGATTGAAAGTGCTCGCTAACGTTTTTCTTATCTGAATATAACAGCTGAATTCCATTCAAGATTGAAATTTCGCTTTATGCTGACGCTTTTTTATTGCGATGGAAAAAAATGGCTAGTATTGCATTCTACTGTAATATGAAGCGTGATCACATGAATCACAACAATAACGAATTTGATCGTCAATAGGCACTGTGTTCGCGAAAAAAGAGCATTTTTCCCCAAATAGCAGGCCAAGAAGAGGTATTATAGAAAAAAGAGGCGGAGTGGGAGGCTAAATGATACACTGAAAGTTCTTTTCATTCGATTACTGAGGCTATCAACCATACAATGATGAAAATTTTTTCGAGAAAGTTTAAGAGTAAGGCGGGTAGGATAATGAAATTACTACGCTAGTCGAGTGTTTCTGTTCTAATTGAAAGCAAATACTCTATAGAATAGTTGAAGAGAGCGATGTGACATTTAAAAGATGTGAAAACAGAAAAAACATGCGCATATATAAAAGTAATAGGAAAACTTGAATAAGTTGAATGATAGATATTTTCACATCTTTAAATGTCACAGTGTCCTTGTTCAATTATCTATAATTATCGAAAAAAAAATAAGAATAAGAAGAAAACGAAAGAGAAATTCACATGTGCAAATCTCGTATGCGTTCAGTTCACTAAGAAGAAAAAGACTAAACGTCACAACAGTCGATATATCAGTAGTGAACCGAATATATTCTTATTTTAACTGAAAGAAGTTGAATGATAACTTATTCAGAATAAATGCACAGTGAGCGAGTTGAGAGATGTGAATAGAATCGTGCACTTGTTTTGAGCTCAAATTCTGACTAATTTTGAGATGTTGCATCATGTTCCCGAAGAGAAAACCAGGTAAAACGTGGTGAAATCAGAATCCTAACTGTCATAAGAAAATTCAGAGTTTTCTTGCCCCAAAAAGTTGTTTTTTAGTGTTCTTATGGCAAAAAACGAGCTTTCATGAGATGAAAAATAAGATTTTTACCTTTCTTAAAGCCAAGACCTTGACAAAGAAGTTTCGGGCAGGGGTTTTTCTTGTCATTAGAGAATCTTTATGGCGAGACTTGGTTGCATCATGTTCTCGAAGAAAAATCCGAATAAAACATGGTGTAACCAAAATTTTAATCCACGTCTTGCATGTTCTAATAACCCGTTTTTAGATGGCTTCACGGTAATATATCTGGTGTTGAGAGAACTGAAAATGAGTTCTTCAATATCATAGTTCTCTATGTAGAATCTTTGATCTTAGCAGAAATCAAAGCGAGAAGCCCAATCGTCTCTTCTTTGCTTTTCTGAAGAGCATGTTTACAGTTCTTCTTTTTTGATATTTATATCTCTTATTATGTCTTTATTTTTGTTACTTTGTTTGTGATGTTGGCTTCAGTCATTGTTATTCTAGATCGCAGACTTTCGATGACTCTCGCTTTTTGTGAATAAAATAAATTAAGGGTAGCGCTATTACCACCTCCAGAAGGTGTCAACAACGGCTACTGGCACCTTCTTGTTCACTATTATGTCCGAAGGTGTGAACAACAGCTATTACAACTTTTAACCTATCACGTTTCGGAACGTAGAAAAGAATAAAACATATATTAAAATATTCAACGCATGAAAGATTATCCACAAAACATTTTCCGAAAGCTCTAAAAACGGGATAAAATACACCATATAAATAAAGCAGAAAAAAAATAAAGAAATCGTGAAAAATAATTTATTATGAGCTGAATACTATACATACCTACAGCTCCTTATTAGAGAAGTAAGGCTAATTGACCACCCTAGTGAAGCTTTTTTTCTCAAGCACATGAGTAAGCACATACCTCAAGATTTGTCTCCATGCACATGAATTTCTTACTCATGCAAAACGCTTGAGGTATGTGCTTGACTTTCTTGTCTCATGCGCTTGAGTTGCATGAAGTATGCGCATGAGG